TCGAAATGCGGTGCAGCTTTTGCGGGCTTCACGTAACGCCCATATTTGCCTATAAATAGTCAAAGAAACGCCCATTAATTCATTCATTCTGACTGACTTTATGAAGAAGATCGCAGGAAATTACGACAGAACAGTTAAAAAAGACATCTCATGCTGTGTCAGATGTGGGTTATTTTGGGGAGGTGGAGATAAATCATATTGTTTGGTGGATGCAGTTTGAACCAGAGTAGCAGCATGGAGGTCGGATCGTCACCAAAATAAATAAATAAATGGCCCGAAAAAGGTTAATGACAAAAACAATACACATAGCCTTCCTCAGGCAGTGTGTTTGTACCGGGGACAGGAGACCCCCCCTTGATGAGAGACTGTAAGAAGTGATCGGGGAATCCCTCCGGAGTGGAGTCATGACGACTGGATCTGAATTATGTTTTTGTATTTGGTGGTTTGTGTTCCAGCTGTCGATCAGCTGTGCGCAGCGTCTCCACTGCAGCCTGTGCGTCTCAACCCCCCCCCCCCCCCCGCAGCAACCCTATATCCACCAGTTAAAGGAAATACAACTAATGTGTTGTGTTATATTAGCTGTACAATTTACCACATATGGTGTTCTTAGCTTCCATACCTCCTGTGTTTTATGAGCGACTTATCAAGTCTTGGCAAACGGCATAAAACACGATTAAACGTAGTATATAAAACCATGCTCGTATCTACAACCTATAGAAATGCAACACGGCGTCAGTTTAAAGTAATGCTGTCCTCCTGCTTACCGCATCATTTATGAGAAAACATTTCATAACATTAACACAACATATTCGAGGTGGTTTTCAATAACATTTCCGTATTTATTTATTTCTCCAAGTTATGTTTTTGTGTGCACTGAGGAGTCTCAAACAGGCGTTTGTTTAATCATTTTAAGATTGGCTTTAATCAAAGTTTGAAAATGAATTCTTCATGATAAATGAGAGGTAACATTTTATTTATGGTATTATTTCCACATATTTCTCTCCATTCTTCCTTCTGCCAACGGTGTCGCAGTTTCTCGTCTCTCCCGTTGTTGTGCTTAGTGCATACGCATGGGTTAGAGTTTGCGTGGAGGACCGCACGTTTTCCCATCAAGTTAGTATTTTATAAATCGCAAACATTGCGTAGAAACTGGCGTACGCCATTTTTTGAGCGTATATCGCTTTATAAATGAGGCCCCTGACCTTTACCCCACCTACCTCTATTAAGCTTACCATTGATACAAATATGCTAAATTGGCTGTGAATGGAAAGGCTGTATGTTTCCTTCTTTGTTGTTTCAGGCATATGAAACCAGGTGAACTAGATAGAACATTCTGAACTTTTGACCTATACACACAAACACACATTCTAGATCAGGGGTGCCCAACCAGTCAATCGCGATCGACCGGGGAGATTCCCAGTCGATCGCGAGATGTGTCTAAAAATAGAACAACAATATTCTGTTTTATCGTTAATGTCCTGTAACATAATCTTCCTGTGCCAGAATAATGCACTTGAACCATAGACTGTATATATAAAGACTTGAACGCATCAAAGCTTTGTGATTGGCCGGCGTGACCCCATGTATCGGGGCATGAATGGTGGGCAGTGCACTAGTTTGCTCAGCGCTGACGTTGTCCATGTCAACAGGAGTGATAGTCCGCACACACACAAGACCGCAATTATGGCAGAAGCAAAAAACCCCAAAATATAATATATATTCACTCCGAGTGGGAGGATGATTATTTTTGTATCTATTCCAATTCAAAGTCCATCGGTCTCATCTGCAATGAGAGCGTGGCTTTATCGAAGAAGGGTAATTTAGGAGCGGCATTTCAAAACAGTGCACAAACGCTACGAGACAGAATCAGTGTTGCCAACTCCATAGTAAGGAAAGTAGCTATTGGCTGTCCGAAAAGTCGCCAGAAGTCGCTAAATGACGTCATCGCCTAATTTGCATATCATGTAATGGCGGCTGTATACAGGCAAAAAACGTTCCCAACCCTTCAAGGATCAAAACTTGAAACCACCGGAGTTAAATCCAGACGACAGTAGATCAGAAATGTCTTTGCCTTTTGAGTATTTTTTGGGGGTTTTAACATGACAGTTTGGCATAGAAATCCCCCTTACAATAAAGGCAGTATGCCCGTGTGTCATCTCCAATAAATGGCTTCAACCATCCTTTATACTCAGGGTTTGATTCCCACTCCTTTCTGTATTTTTGAGAATACAATTTAAACTGTGCCATGATGTTTAGCTTGTCACAGAGAGGCACACACACAGTGGACGAGGTGGTTGAGTGACTGAGGCTGTGTGAGGCAAAGGCAGTTATTTATTATAGTGTGAAAGTGAGTGAAGAAACATTTATATTCAACATTTAAATCCCGCTCAAAACCAGGACGGCTTGGCAGTTGGTGCATGCGCAATTCATTTGCAGTCTCGACGTGGGAGTGTGGTTGCCTCCTCTCTGCTCTGACTGCAGCAGCAGCTCTGCTGCGGCCAGGCAACTGTCAGTCTGAGCGCCTGTGAGTACTATGGGAGGGAGGCGGGGCTCACGGCAGCACCCGCGGCTCGTTAACTGCAGAACAATGTGAGTCTCCAAACACCAGAAAAGTCGCTAATAACACCATTATAAATCGCTAGATTAGTCGTTAGTCGCTTTTGACACAAATAAGTCGCCGGAGGGTTTGGAAATCCGCCAAATTTAACGAGAAAATCGCCAAGTTGGCAACACTGGACGGAATTCCCTCCTAATTCTGCCCTACGCTCCCAAAAGGGGAGGGGCCTGAAAGGACAGCTAAATAGATAGATAGATCTTTATTTGTCATTGTACAGGTACAACGAAATTACAATAGACTCAAGGTGTCAACACGCAACAACAAGACAATATAAAAACAGCAAGACAATATAAAAACAACAAGACAATATAAAAACAACAAGACACTATAAAAACAGCAGTCCATTTTCACCAGGCCCAACAACAAGAGCAAGGCATCTTATCGTGTCAGTCACGTTCTTGCGAAACACATGAAGTCTTTCAAAGACGGCGAAGTTGTGAAAGAAGCATTCCTGGAGGCTGCCGACGCGCTTTTGGGGGACAATAAAAATAACAGTAGCATTTCAACAGGGTTTTTATTTAATAAAAACTCAAGTTGGATACAGTTATTAATCAGCCGTAAATTTTAGTTTGTTTGAACTTTTTCATTATAATTATTGTACAAAATGGTATAATAATGCAAACATTAGAACCAGAGGGGCGTAAGTGACATTTTGGTCAAAAATGAGTTATATATATCAAATGAAAGCTCTCAATGAGCTCTTTCTACTGCCAAAAGGGTGCATGTGAATTCAAAACCAATCCAGAGTTATTCATCAAAAACTAAAAGACCTAACACAGAACACACTGAACTATTTGGGGCCAAAAGGACGTAAGTAAGTAAAAAAATAGAACAATATTTTTTTCAATGAAAGTCAAAATATTGTTCATTAAGTATATTGTCATCCACATGTTTATGAAGTTTTCATATTAAAGATTGAATTTAATAAACAAAGTCAGGATAAAGTATGGTCATTTTTTGTTTTGGCTCTCCTGTAAAGTTGGTCAAATGTCACTTACGCCCCTCTGGTTCTCACCCCTCTGTTTAAATTGATTATAGTCTATTATCAATTCAGGTTAAGAAACTAGTGTTGGTTGCATCCTATTTTAAAAGGCATTTCTTTTTATACTCTACTAAAATGCAACAAAAAAAGGGTTTGATTCTATTAATTTTGTCTTTTTTATTGCACTTTGGCAGCAGATTCCTGTGTAGCTTCAGATCTGAGTTGTCTTATTAGTAAGCCTAATGTATACTTTTGTAGCAACACTATTTTTATATAATGGCAAAGAAAGGGTTCAGTGTCTTTTCTTTTTTTCCTGTGTCATATGTGGCAGCACTGTTCAATGTTTCTTGAAAACATTACCCACTGTAGTTTGTGACGTGTGAATAAACTCCAACTCTGTATCAACAACACTTGTGTAACTTCAATTAAATACTTGTATGTGTAAATGATCTGCAGTATTTTATTAAGTATTCATCGTACAAAGGTCAGTTTTATACAAGTAGAAGTGTGTATTTACCTGGTAGTAGGCTGTCAGTAATGGCTATGCCTCTCTATTTGGACTGGTAGATCTCGGCAGACTGGCAACTTTAAAAGTAGCTCTCGGTTCAAAAAAGGTTGGGCACCCCTGTTCTAGATGGTGCTAGAAGGCGCTAGTGGTTTTTGACACCTTGACACCTTGAGAGCGGTTACATGAAGACAATGAAGCACAGGATGCAGGCTACCTACACATAGATTAAAATCAGCTTCCTGGTCCAGCGAATCGATGGACCAGGAAGTTGATAAGCTTGCAGCTGTTAGCTCTCCAGACTTCATTTATGAACAGAGACAAATAAGGGCATGCTCTTACAAAATGATGGATTTAAGATGATAACATAAGTACTGTTGTCCATAACATAGTGCTACAGGGTTGTTACATTACCAGTGCAAGTAAAATGTTTTCTACCTGAAGTAATATCAAGGATATCATTTGAAATGTGAATAAAGAATGGGGGAACCGGCAGCCCCTCCCACAAATGTGCTTTACAAGCCACCTTCATCTATACTAAAATCAGTTTGGGACAATTGTCAATTCAATAAGAACAATTAAGGGTTGTTAGTTGTGTCCCTATCAGTAATAAGGGACACAACTCCATTGTATAAAACACATACCAGACTAGTAACTCTAAATCCAGTTTTAACTGAGTGGGACAGGGCTTATCAAAACAATCAATGAGTTTGTTGTCTAAATAAATGTGACTAAAATAATCTATATGCAGAACACCATCTATTTAAATGCAATTCAACACAGATTTACAAGAAAAATAAGTGTTTTGTAATGCTTAGGGTTTTGAAATTCAACCTAAAATCGACATTTTAATTCAATTAAGATCATAGCTGCTGAATAAAACATTACCTTCTCACCTTTCCACATCGAGTCGGGGCTGGATGCCTCTTCCTGGATGTCAGCAGAGCAACTGTGGCTGGCATTTGAGGCTTCAACTCATAGTTGAATGCTGTCACATAGAAAACCCTGGGAGCCAAACAATATAAACAGTGTAAGCTCTGCAGTGCAGCCACCCTATTGGCCACCCCAAACACCACGGGGGCCCAAACTATTTTAGAACATTAAGAAAAAAAAGTTTAAATAACCTTTCATCAATCATCAATAATTAACATTAATATAACGTTATATTGATAATGTACTCACTGAATTTACAATTCATTTAACTTATTTCCTTCCAAAAGTTAATTATCCAAAGCCTCTGTGCACCCCCTTCTATTTACATGTAATGGTTTGGTCCCGCCTCCGCCTCCAAACCGCACTTTCTAGCAGAGAGTGAGAGCATGTGAGGAGCAGGGATGCTAGTACTTACGTGTGTTGTGTACCATGTCTCAACGACTAACAAAATCAAGCCTTCAAAAATAAAATAAAGGAGAGAAGCAAAGAGAGAGGGACTAAAGCAGGGGTCTTCAACTAAAATTCAACGAGGTCCAGTTAGAGAAAATCTCCCCATGCAAAGGTCCGGAACATCAAAATGTCTAACTTGCTTCATGAATTAGTGTGATATTGAAGTGACCTGTAGCTTTATCAACGTCTGCATGTAATCAACAACTGACTGCCAATCAAATAAATAAAGTACAATTCAAAAACAACAATATTTATTGTCAATTAACATTACTTAAATACTGTGGATATGTGTAATGTTCCTCTCGGGCTGCATTTACAAATACAATAGAGAAAATAAATAAAATAGCTTTTGAAAATATGTGCATCTTAAAAGTGCTTAATTTTAGATAGATAAAATAAAGTGTAGCAGCAGCTTGAGTTTCCCTTTTTCTTTGTTAACCGTTTCACATCATGACTTAACAGTTTCAGCCGATTATAGAACAATATCAGTGTTTACACATCATAACAATTGAACAGTTTTAAAGTTTCTCTTTCTTTCCCTCTTATATTGCAGTCCCTCACTCACTTTTTTAAAATTCAGTGTGATAATTGAGCTTGAGCTTGTCCTGCCAGGAGTTTGTAAATCTGGGCTGAAATAGTGTCAGGGCTATTCTCATACACATGCAGGTGCTCATTGGTTACAGTGATGCAAACACAGGTATGGTGAAAAAAGAGAGAACTATTCGAAGCAGAAAAAAAACAGCGTAATATACCATCTGACAAAGGCCTGTGCTATAATGCTTCAATTAACTGGCTATTCTTTATAATATACTCAGATCAATAGGAGACAGAGATGTTAAGTTAAAAATCAAGGGTTTTTATTATTATTTACAGCAGGGGTGGGGAACCTTTTTCCTTTCAATTTTTACAACATCCTCCGAGGGTCGTACAAATTATTGAACTCAACCTTTGCTTAAAAAAACTAAACTCACAGCCCATTCATTTGGCCTTTCTTTCATGCTGTGCAAAGAAAAAGCAACCAATCCAGATATCTCACCATGACTCACGTATGTGCACGGTGTGGCATGACCACCAAAACAGAAAGATATGGACACAAGATGTGTGCAAATGTATTTAGTATCCTATCCATGTGAACATGATTTAAGTGGGGGGGGGGGACCTAACCTCCTCTAGGGGGGTCCCGGGGCATGCTCCCCGGTATTTTTTTTAAATATTGAAGTTAAAAGCATCAATCTGGTACACTTTGAGAGCAACATTAAGAGATCTATGGATACATCTCTCAACACCAATATGAAACAGAACTGTAAGCATATTTTTCTTTTTGGATATTTTACAAATCACTCCCCTTTTAAACTCTATTCTTGTTATTGTTAACAACTTTTTTGTTACTGTCATATAGTATTTTATACCTGTTTTTCATTTAGTCTCATTAATAACTATAATGATCATATCAAGGTGTGCCTTAACCTCACTGAGCTGAGGTTATTTGAGCCTCTCAGGAGATAGCTCTCTTCCACCTGGTTGTAGAAAAGCTCTTTAAATTCGTTAGCATAGCTAGCTAACTAGATGCTAATAATAACAGATCGCCACTGTGCTTACAACTCAAGACACAACCACGCAAACACTGCGGCATGTGTACGGCTCCTTATGGGTATTGCAATATTGTAAGGACTGGAGCGGCGTTCCGGTGCTCAGCACTCCTTTCAGACGAGACACGTGAAGACACGTACCACGTGAAGACACGTACCACGTGAAGACACGTACCACGTGAAGACACGTACCACGTGAAGACACGTACCACGTGAAGACACGTACCACGTGAAGACACGTACCACGTGAAGACACGTTACGCTCGTGTTGTGTTCAAGGAACCTGTCCTTGGCCAGGAAAAACAGATACTCGCTTGTTTAATTATTTTTGCGGTCTAGATTTCTTCTTCTTTTTTGAAGTGAGAAGTTGTCCGTCAGTCGGACTGACGGACGGACTCCCTCCCCCAAAACGAAAACTTTTCGGTTCTCCACGAATTACGCAAGTCACCCAAATCAGCGTTAAAAAAGCGGGAGGCACCGAAAAATCCACTATTAATGTATTGATTATAGCTCCGGGTCCGTATAGGTCGGCGTCTGGGTCCGGATCCGGACCGCGGTCCGCCTGTTGCCGACCCCTGGACTAAAGGGTGACAGTATGTCACCCAGTTTTTCAAGAGAAAAGGTGGGTGTGGTCCATGAGTGGTGGAAAGTTTTCTGTTAGCTAACCGTAGTCCATTGTAAATAATAATTTGTATGTTGTTTTTTTTACTAAGCTGATATTTAGTACTGTTAATATCTATAAAGAAAATGCAGAGGTTTTTAATTTCACTGCTCTTTTAACTGACATTTAATAAATGCAGGTACATTTTTAGCAGCTATTCATATTAAATCAGTTGTCCCTCCCCCTGGTGACAGGACCAACAGATCCAATGTTTCCCCTACCATTGTCTTCGAGGGGCGCTGCGCCCCGCCAACGGAGCTCCGCGCGCCCCCCCCTGAAATTCAAGGTGTTTAAAAAATGTATATATATATTTTTTTTAATATATATATCAGGGTTTCCGGTTTTTTCTGTATATATATATATATATATACTGTATATATATTCTCTATATATATATATATATATATTCTGTATATATATATATATATATATATATATATATATTCTGTATATATATATATATTCTGTATAGGCCTATATATATATATATATCAGGGTTTCAGTTTTTTCTCGCCGGTCAAATGTCCGGACAGAATTTATTACTACAACGGTGCGGTAAAGAGAGCTGAGCCAGAAGGCAAAGCTCTCTGTCTACCGGGCCATTTTCGTTCCTACCCTCACCTATGGTCATGAAGGATGGGTCATGACCGAAAGAACGAGATCGCGGATACAAGCGGCCGAGATGGGTTTTCTCCGCAGGGTGGCTGGCATCTCCCTTAGGGATAATGTGAGAAGTTCAGTCATCAGGGAGGGACTCACGGAGCGTCCACACAGCAGCGTGCGTTGACGCTTGGAGGTGGGCGTATCTGAAGCTTGGGGATTTTTTGCGAGCAACACGACCAACAACCAATCACATGAATCTCCCGCCCCCGACATACAAAGCAATAGCAATGTTAAAACGAAGTAAACTGGATATAAAATCCCCAAACAGGCGAAAACCTACCAGTTTCACCCACTGTCTCTGCCTCCTCCCTCCATGCCTCGCAACTCCGGTTTGTATCCCGGTAGATGAACAGAGACTGATCATACAACACCGGGTGATTCACTACCGCTACAATGAATTTTCCCTCAATTTGTTTGAATATGAGGAAATGACCTGCGCAGTCTCTCCCAGCATACACGCGGTTTGATTGGCTAGCGATTGTACTGGCAGATTTGAATAAACGGGATTTCATTGGCTGACGCCTCCGTCGAGGCGTTAAAAGTTGAACATTGCTCAACTTTTGACGCCAGCTACGCCAGCAACGCTCCACGTCGCTTCCCAAAATGCAGTTCGGCTAAAAGTGACGTCACCCCATTCAAAGTGAATGGGCAGAAGCGTTGGAAGCTTCAACGCACGCCGCTGTGTGGACGAGCCGTCAGAGTTGAACCGCTCCTCCCTCGCGTCGAAGGGAGCCAGTTGAGGTGGTTCGGGCACCTAGTAAGGATGCCACCTGGGCGCCTCCCTAGGGAGGTGTTCCAGGCACGTCCAGCTAGGAAGAGACCAAGGGGTAGACCTAGGACCAGGTGGAGGGATTATATATCTTCGCTGGCCTGGGAGCGCCTTGGGATCCCCCAGTCAGAGCTGGTTGATGTGTGGCCAGGGAAAAGAAAGTTTGGGGCTCTCTGCTGGAACTGCTACCCCCGCGACCCGACCACGGATATGCGGGAGAAGATGGATGGATGGATAGATGGAAATTTGAAATTTACCGGTCATGTTTCAATAATAATAATAAGATTGTGTAGCAGAGTTTCCGTTAGCAGGTAATTACCGGACTAGGACCGGATATGCTGATGTTTAAAACTCAGTTAATGGGAGTAATTTTTATATTGCTTCAGTTTATTTTTTTTTTCATTTATTAATTTTTCAATAAATGATTCCACAAACAACAAACAACATAATTATTACATTCAAAGTAACTGCTTGTAGTAGATAAAGTACATTATTCAAAAGTTTAACTTAACTTTGAATAATAACACGGGAGAAACAGATCCTCTCTTTTCCTCTCTCCCTCCCTCTCTCTCTCTCCTGACAGCCTGTCAGTTTCTCATGCAGCGCGCTAAACAGTGGGCGGGGCTTCAGGTGATTATACAGCAGCTGATCTGATCTCTCTCTCGGGTCCGGTTACACTTCACTCGCGTTTATGTCCATATCGATCAGATCCAGCTCTCCTGATCGGCCTTTATAGAGGGCACAGATCAAACTATTAAGAGTGAATGTTACAGCCGCTGCCTTCCTGGTACTGTTAACACTGTTTGTGTGTGTATGTGTGTGTGTGTGTGTGTGTGTGTGTGTGTGTGTGTGTTTGTGTGTGTGTGTGTGTGTGTGTGTGTGTGTGTGTGTGTGTGTACATGAGCTGCGCAGTTCTATTTCGTATATGGCTTCGCCC